TTCAAAATTTCAATCGAATTTTTTCTGCAAGAAAGATTCATGATTTACTTTAAACATCTGTTTATAAATATATAATTCATGTGAGTTATTTTCAATTGCCATGACAATGCTAAATGGTCGGGTTAAAGGAGTTGATCATCTGTTTGCACAAACAAATCTGTGGTGCGTAGGAAACGGTGTAAGAAATGCTAAACTTGAATTTAAAAACGGGGCAACGAAAAAAATGGGATTAAGTGTTTTCTGACGCTGCAGTTTATTTTTCATACAATTTGTCCTCAGAATATTAAAATTAATTAAAATTGACCAGAATTGATTACTCCCATGCTGTTTAAATTCTACAAAAAAAATGTTTGAGAACAATTTCTGCTTTACTTTTTGTATCAGAACTAAAGCTGAGCTTCACTCCACTTGCAATACAACAATTTTAGAACGAGTTCTCCCTGACGCTATAAACTAGCAAACATAACTTCAAAGTATGTTACAATTGAAGACAGAAATGGAAAAACAAAGGACTTTTTTCGTCTTTGAATTTATTTAGGTTTTTCAAAAAGGTCCTGATGGAGGTGCCACTGTCTTACTGATCTCAAAAGTACTGCCGGACATTTAAAGGAAAAATAGTGGGAAATTAGACATCAGTATCGAAATCGAGATCCAATAAGCTGATTAGCAACCAAAAACCTTGTCAAATAACATATTGGAAAGAATTTCATGTAACTCCCACACAGGATCCACGGTAACTATATAAATAGCGTATGCAAAGTAGACTACAAAATTTGAAAGCTAAACTGACAAAGCTTGCGTGGATAAGCATGAAGACATAAAACTATCAGTAGAAAAACCATGTCAAAACTTTCTTATCATAGATACAAGGTTGTGAGTTCTAGTTGCAGCATGAGTAGTAACTAGTACCCGGTAGCTTAAAGACCCAACCTATGTCATAGTAACTTCACAGTCAAAGCGTCTGGTCTTATCAGAGAGAAAATTCAGCCGATGTGCAAGTGGCACAAAAAGCGCAGACATTTATTTTTTTTTAATTAAAAAAAAAACGATTATACTTTTTTTCAGAAAAATTGTTGAAGTTATTTGTGCCAAAGAAATGATAAACTAATCATCAAAACTATCATCATGTGCTTAATTTGTAATTTGGGCTCCTGGAAAAGTTGTAGAATCCAAACAAAACGGCTGTTCAAAAAAGAACCGCTACTCGTTGGTCTGCAGGACAATCAGCACTTATTAATCTCGCAACAATTTCAAAATTTCAATCGAATTTTTTCCGCAAGAAAGATTCATGATTTACTTTAAACATCTGTGTATAAATATATAATTCATGTGAGTTATTTTCAATTGCCATGACAATGCTAAATGGTCGGGTTAAAGGAGTTGATCATCTGTTTGCACAAACAAATCTGTGGTGCGTAGGAAACGGTTTAAGAAATGCTAAACTTGAATTTAAAAACGGGGCAACGAAAAAAATGAGATTAAGTGTTTTCTGACGCTGCAGTTTATTTTTCATACAATTCGTCCTCAGAATATTAAAATTAATTAAAATTGACCAGAATTGATTACTCCCATGCTGTTTAAATTCTACAAAAAAAATGTTTGAGAACAATTTCTGCTTTACTTTTTGTATCAGAAGTAAAGCTGAGCTTCACTCCACTTGCAATACAACAATTTTAGAACGAGTTCTCCCTGACGCTATAAACTAGCAAACATAACTTCAAAGTATGTTACAATTGAAGACAGAAATGGAAAAACAAAGGACTTTTTTCGTCTTTGAATTTTTTTAGGTTTTTCAAAGAGGTCCTGATGAAGGTACCACTGTCTTACTGATCTCAAACGTACTGCCGGACATTTAAAGGAAAAATAGTGGGAAATTAGCCATCAGTATCGAAACCGAGATCCAATCAGCTGATTAGCAACCAAAAACCTTGTCAAATAACATATTGGAAAGAATTTCATGTAACTCCCACACAGGATCCACGGTAACTATATAAATAGCGTATGCAAAGTAGACTACATAATTTGAAAGCTAAACTGACAAAGCTTGCGTGGATAAGCATGAAGACATAAAACTACCAGTAGAAAAACCATGTCAAAACTTTCTTATCATAGATACAAGGTTGTGAGTTCTAGTTGCAGCATGAGTAGTAACTAGTACCCGGTAGCTTAATTTGAATCTTTAGGAAATTGAGCATGTCAGCCGCATAGCAGCATCATAAATTGTTCAGCTGATTTTGTTAAACTAATTTTAAAACCGAAAAAAGATTACATTCTGATTTCGTAACGCTTGCTAATCGCTAGCGTAATTACTATAATGAAAATTGAAGGGTTAAAAAAAATTTTTTTCCGTTGACGTTTTTTTTAAATTTATTTCGCGAATCATTTCGACAGTTTCTATTTTATGCTTTCAGTTTTCATTATGGCCATCCTTGTGTATTCGTTTCTCGGAAAATTTTCTGTCTTGTCATTCAATGGATTGAACAAACTGCAGAATAATGGTTGCAAAAAAAAACAAAATATAACAGAATAAAATTCCTCATGAGAATTCAGATTCTGAATATTTATTATGAACGACAAACACGGGCGCCGGTTTTTTCACGTCATTGAAATAATTGTAAGCTTTTCTTCAAATTCCGATTTGTGGTTGAAAGGAATCTATAATATTACATTTGACTGCCTACGAGTGTTCTTTGAGTTATTATAAAAAAGCTGAAAAATCCAACCTACGTCATAGTAACTTCCCAGTCTACGATGTGGTCTTAGCAAAGAGAAATGTCAGCTGCTGTGCAAGTGGTGGCCCAAAAAGCGCAAACTACGTTAATTTTTGTTTAAATTGAAAAAATTGATCAAATAAATTTTTCAGAAAAATTGTTCAAGTTTTTCGTGCCAACGACATGCTAAATTAATCATCAAAAACAGCTTCATGAAATGCAATTCATGGAACATTTTCAAATTTTATTGGGTAAAAACAAGCTACTGAATATTTTTTAGAATCCAAATGAAACGGCTGTTCAAAAAAGAATAGCTACTCGTAGTGATTTTCCCAGTGCTGTTGAATTTAAGTTTTTGAAAATTGGTGCCAGTGTGTTATTGATTTCAAAAGTACTACCGGAAATTTAAACAAAAAAGCGGTAAATTAGCCGACAGAGTTGAAGCCGAGATCCAATAAGCTGAAGATCAACCGAAAACATTTAAAATATATAGGAAAAAGTTTTAGGTATCACCCACACAGGATCCACGGTAGCTATATAAATAGCGCATCAAAGCAGACTTCATAATTTGGAAACTAAACTGACAAAGCTTGCGTCGATAACAATGCAGCCGTAAAATATCAGGCAAAAATTCGTGCCAAAACTCTCTAATCATACTTATAAGAGTGTGTTCTAGATATAGCATGAGTAGTAACTAGTATCCGGTAGCTAATTTTGAGTTTTCATGAAAATGAGCATGTCAGCAGCATCATAAATAACTTAGCTGATTTTGTTGAACTAGTTGTTAATCCGAAAAAAAAGTCTATATTCTGATTTCATAACGCTTGCTAATCGCAAGCGTAAATATTATAATGAAATTGAAGAGTTTAATAAACTTGAGTTTGACTGCATTTATGGTTTTATTTGATTTATTTTGAATAATTTCGGCAATTTTTTATTTCATGCTTTTATGCTCTCAGTATTCACTTTGACCAATCATGTTTATTCATTTTTCTGAAATTTTTATGCCTTGTCATTTAATGGATATAACAAAAATGTTGCAGGCGGATACAAAAGGATGTATGTGTAAAAAGACAAAATATAACAGAATAAAGATCCTCATCAAAAATCAGATTCTGAAAAAAAATTAAAAACAACAAACACGGACACCGGTTTTCCACGTCACTGAATTTATTTTCATTTTTTCTTCAAAAATCAAACTGCTACTGAAAGGAATATATGAAAGACCCACCCTATATCATAGTAATTTTGCAGTCTATGTGTGTGGTCTTAACAAAGAGAAATTTCAGCTGTTGTGCAAGTGGCACAAAAGGCGCAGACTACATTTGTTTTTGTTTAATTTAGAAAAAAATGATCATTTTTTTCAGATTAATTGTTCAAGGTATTGGTGACGAAGAAATGCTAAGCTAATCTTCGAAAACTAGCTTCATGTGCTCAAACTGTAGCTTTAGAAACCTTTTTTAAAATTTAATTGGCAATAACAAGCTACTCAATGATTTTTAGAATTCAAATGAAACGGCACTTCGAAAAAGAATGGCTACTCGTAGGCCGGGAGGACAATCAGCTTTTAATGTTCTCGCAACAATCTCAAAATTTCTATCGAAAGTTTTCCGAAAAAAAATGCATGAAATTTTTTTAAAAAAGAACAGCATCCCAGTGCAATTAATAAACAACCTTATTTTTCTTCGGTGGCCTTTCCTGCTTAAATCATCAAATTTTGATCTAAAAAAGTCCGAATATCTAAAAATTATATGAACGTCCCTGTAGCACAGTGCACCTACTCAATCTAAATCCGATCAATTCATGATGAATTGATCTGAAAATTAGCTTTCGAAAGTCAAAGGCCACAAAAATCTGATAGAAAGTCAATAACTTGACATCTATAATTTGATATTAAAAGGCAACGAAAGTTCAAAAAATAATTTAGACCAAAAATACAGGAGGGATGCTTTGTAACGTTAAGGTTTTTAGTGCCAGGTTGCATTTCCTTTCATTTAAAATTTAGTTTTCAAACACGATTACTTCAAATCTGAAGGATTTAATATCTATACGATCTTGTTATTTTTCTTGATTGAATGCAAGATGATTTCCGATTTATATCAATCTATTTTGTACGATATTAATTATTGACCATCTTTTGACTGCAATAAAGCGCGTATAACTTTTGTTTTGGCACCAAAACTAAATATTTTCCTATACTGCGCATGAATAAATTATTCAAGCGATCTTTCTATAAGCTTCAACGTATCGAACAGCTGATTTTGTTTTCACTACAATTAATTTTTCATCAAGTTTTCAATTTCCCATAGTAACCTCCAAAGCAGCAAACATGCATACCTTTACTCGCATAGCTTAAAAATTCATTCCTCTAACTTCCACTGTTTAAACAAGTTGCTTGTACTTCTCAATCAAAATTTTTCAATTGACATAACCTCAATTTTTCAAAAACTGAACCAAAATGCGTGAATGTATCTCAGTTCATATCGGCCAAGCTGGCAGCCAAATTGGAAACGCTTGCTGGGAGCTGTACTGTCTGGAACATGGGATCCAGCCGGATGGTCAGATGCCAAGTGACAAGACCATCGGAGGAGGCGATGATTCATTCAACACATTCTTCAGCGAGACCGGGGCGGGCAAGCATGTTCCTCGGGCTGTCTTCGTCGACTTGGAACCAACAGTTGTCGACGAAGTCCGAACTGGAACTTACCGACAACTGTTCCACCCGGAACAACTGATCACCGGAAAGGAAGACGCTGCCAACAACTACGCCAGGGGTCACTACACCGTCGGCAAAGAGTTGATTGACATCGTCTTGGATCGGATCCGAAAGACAGCCGACCAGTGCACTGGACTCCAAGGGTTTCTGTTGTTCCACTCTTTTGGAGGTGGAACGGGTTCTGGATTCACTTCGCTGTTAATGGAACGTCTGTCCGTCGACTACGGAAAGAAATCCAAGCTGGAATTCGCTGTCTACCCAGCACCTCAGATATCGACTGCCGTAGTGGAACCCTACAACTCCATTTTGACAACTCACACGACTCTCGAGCACTCTGACTGTGCCTTCATGGTTGACAACGAAGCAATCTACGACATCTGTCGTCGCAACATGGACATTGACCGACCAACGTACACGAACTTGAACCGACTGATAGCTCAAATCGTGTCTTCAATCACTGCTTCACTGCGATTTGACGGTGCTTTGAACGTCGATTTGACTGAGTTTCAGACAAACTTGGTGCCGTACCCGAGAATCCATTTTCCACTCGCGACCTACGCTCCTGTGATCTCTGCCGAGAAGGCTTATCACGAGCAGCTCTCGGTCGCCGAGATCACGAATGCTTGCTTTGAACCTGCGAACCAAATGGTAAAATGCGACCCGCGCCACGGAAAATACATGGCTTGTTGTCTCCTGTACCGAGGCGATGTCGTGCCCAAAGACGTCAATGCCTCGATTGCGACTATCAAGACTAAGAGGACCATCCAGTTCGTAGACTGGTGTCCCACTGGCTTCAAGGTCGGAATCAACTACCAGCCCCCGACTGTCGTTCCTGGAGGCGACTTGGCCAAGGTGCAGAGAGCCGTCTGTATGTTGAGCAACACCACTGCTATCGCCGAAGCCTGGGCTAGATTGGATCACAAGTTCGATCTAATGTATGCGAAGCGAGCGTTCGTCCACTGGTACGTTGGAGAGGGAATGGAGGAAGGAGAGTTCTCGGAAGCCAGGGAGGATCTGGCAGCTCTGGAGAAGGACTACGAGGAAGTAGGAGTAGACTCGGTTAACGCCGAAGGAGAGGAGGGCGAAGAAGCGGAGGAATACTGAAGTCCAGCAAGAAATGAGACGATACTTAACAGAATACCGAAACGAAAAGAGACATACTATGTATACAAGAGACTAAAACTAAATATATATTACACTTATTTAATTATAAAAAATATTAAACAAGTATAGTCGGTTAATGGGCACGAAGCACTGAGAGTTCCGACTACATTAATAAAAAAACTACTTCAATAAAACAAGCAAAAAAAACGAATAAAATTTCATTTTTTTTTCGAATATTTCTGAAGAAAGTTTTTTTTTGATTTTTCACAAATGTTTGCCAAAGAACTGCTAAATGAAGCTTCAAAACCTGGAGTAAAGTTAAGTTTTTCACGGCTTAAATAATATTTTTTAGTCCTGTAGAAGACATAAACGCTGATTTAGCATGAAAAAGTAAAAAAAAAGTTAAAACACACCCGAATATGAATTTCCGCCCCACTTTCGGTGGTCTGGCCAAAAAATGGATGTTAATCTTTATTGTATCAGCTTAGAGATGATAAACTTTAAAAATCCAAACCCAAGTTCGAAGTCCGCCGCATTTCAGCCGATCAGGTAAAGAAAAAAGAATATTTTGAAGCAAAAGCTGCTTTAAAAATGAGATCAACTGAGCAAACACGTACCAGCAACGGCGGCCACAAGGAAACTTGGTACTAAATACAATTATTGTTCACGCGGAAGGAAAACTGCTTAGCTCAAAACTTGAAATTATTTCTGTCAGTTAAAAACCAAATTAAAACACAGAGGCGAAACGGAGCTTCGCACCACTTTGCGATACAACACGGACGTTACGAGAGTATAAAAAAGGAAATATAGAAAAAAAGTAGGTGAACCAAAATGTTCGTATGTCTTGATAAAAGATAACTAGGGGTCCAACTAAACCTGGATGTAGTTGTTTGATATTTTTGGAATTTGTTATACTGATGTCGGATGAAATGCGGATGAAAACTTCAAAATTTCGACTTTGCTTGAAACCTTCGCGGTTTCTCTAGTAAAATTAACTTATGAGAAATTGCAATCTTCCCACATACATACAACTTTTCCTACAAAAAACGAGGAGCCGCCACTTCTGTAGAAAAAATTCTCGCAACCGGTTTCTTCGATTGAACTCTTCATCTCAGTTTTGATAGGGTTTATAAAAAAAATCAAAAGTTTCTATAAAAAGTCTCCGAAATCCGTAACTTTTATCTACAATAAAGTCGTGACCACTTAAGCTGAGAAGAATTCCAAAAACTATTTTCTCGATTGAACCCAAACACTTGACCTCAGAACTGGCAGGGTAGTTTTCGAAAGAAGTAAAAAAAATTCCAAAAACGGTCAATAATTAATTTTTTTACCTATTCGTTAAACATACCTCTGTTGTTTCGATTGAACGCAAAAATTCAACATTTGGGACAATAGTTTTCGTGAAAAATCAAATATTTTCAAAAAAAGGTACAAAAACCAATTATTGACTTTTCGAGGGCCATAATTTTTGAGCAACTAAAAATGTTCCGAAGTCCATTATGCAGGGGAACTTCTCACAATCCGCTGTTTCGATTGAACCCAAAATCTAGGACTTCGGAGGGAAGTTCCGGGGAAAATGAAAAAAAATATTTGACGACTACAAGGGCCATAACTTTTTGTGTAGAAAATTTCGGGAGTAGCCGCTTATGCATGGGAGCTTTCCATATCCATTGAACCTAAAATTTCAGATCTGAGAGTATTTTTAGAAAAAAAAATTCCACAAATACGGTTCTAAAATCTCCCCAACCCCACAGACTTTTTCCAAAGCTGTAGACAGAGTAAATTGAAAAAGACTACGGGAATATGCAGGCACACGGGATATTACACAATCTTCCCTTTGATACGCCTTTTTTGAGATTCGGTAGAGTAGTTATCTACTGAACTAAATTTTCTGCCAAAAATGAAAAATTTTTCATAATAACTGATTTTGTTAAAAACGAATTTTTCCACTAAGCCGATAAAACATCAGCGAGACCGTTTCGTCAAAACAACTTTCAGTAAAACTATTCAAAATCAGACTTGATAAATTGACAAATTACAGAACTTTCAATCATAGTACAAAAAATTTAGAATCAAAATAAAATTGAGGCCGATAAAAATAAGGGCTAGACACCGAAAACGATAATTTTTAGAAAACGGAAAGTGAGCCGACAGAAACTAAGCCAAAAACTACGAGTCCGAAAAAAATCAAGTTTCAAAAAATTTAATTGATAAAATTATTACTGCAGAAACGTACTCTATCTATTAAGTCTTAGATGAGGTAGTTTTATTTAAATTTTCAACAAATTGAGTCTGTCTTGAAATTTACCATCCCTATAAAATTATGTGAACAAAGTTATTTACGGGATTTTTTTTACTCGATTGCAAAACTCCTGCTTATTGCAAGGGTAAATAGCATCCCGTTAAACCAAATGATCAAACGTTTTTCAATTGGAGAAAAGCCTATTTGATAAAAAAAACTAAACCAAATCATGAAATCAGTCATTTGAAGAATATATTAAAGTTTCAACTTTCGAAGTAAAAAAAATTTGACCTAGACAAAACTATGATTGACACTTTTTTGACAAAACTGACTCAATTTGCGAAAACTGGATCAATAGATTTTTTTTTATTCCGCCGGGAAATTGGAATTAAATTCAAATTTCGAAATTAGAATTCCCCAACTTCACCAAGCCCAATTTACCCAAGTTTCGGCAGTTGAGTTTAAATTGAGCTAAAAAAAACGTTTATACCTAAAAGGGGTATACAACAGGCCGACGGGAGTTCAATCTAAATGGACTAGAAGCCGAAACGGACTTCGAACCTTCGACCTTGAGAATTGGAGTCTCACGCTCAGCTCTCTCGGCCACGAACGCTAAATAATTGGCAAACGCTAGTCACAAAAAAGCAACTACATATGCTAATAAATTGCCAATGCGAAGCAGCAAAAATGGCACCAAATACAATTAGACACAATTTTGCCAGCATTTATTTGGAAAAAAAAACAAATTAAGCCCATCCACACTAACTTTGCAAGTAACAAATTGGAAAGCAGAAAAACACGTTATTAGTTATGCATTTCAAAAAATTGCGAAATAAATCGAGTTGGAAAAATTCTGAAATCGAGTTTTTTCATTTTTATGTTCTTTGAAACTAATAGCTTCTTCCGGTTTTTTTGGTAATTTTAAAATGCATCAACTGTGTTATTTTATTATTATGTGAATGTCAAAGCACATGCTATCAAAAAGCCGTAAGGCTGCTACCAAAATTTGCAACTTAGGTTAGAAAAAAAGGCCGTATTATGACACTGACGCTCACTTAAGTTCCCTGGTGTAAGCAATCCTTAACATTAATTGGATAATCAAAACGTATGAATAAACCAATGACTGGTAAAAAATCATCAAATAGAGAAAATCGTCAAAGCAGTTTTCAAATTAGTCATTTTTCATAACTTTTTGAGAAAATGTTCAGCTTGAAGTTGCTAATTTTACAATTCGGCTTGAAGTCCCTTCGTCCTGTAGTCCAGCACTCACTCAAGTGAATTTATAAATGCATTAAAATGTATGAATGCACATCTGTAGTTATTAGAGCATTTTAAGAATTTTTCCCAAAAACACAGACCTATTTAAGTCTTCAATACGTTATTGACTCTTTAAACATCAGTGATTACGCGGGCAATAATATGTTAGAAAGTTTCAACAGAGTAATTTGACGATTTCTTAGCCTACTATAAAGAAGCCTTCGTTCACATATCGTTTTTTGTTGCCTTCGTCAGAAACCACCTACTTCAACTAATTGAATCTACTGTTTCAAATTACTTCGTGGAGTTTTGATGTTTTCTTGAGACGTACATTATGATGTTTACTTGCCTGTCAACTTTGCTTTCCTAATAAGTTTTGCAACGTGTTTTTTTCCCAATTATTCCAAGGAGAGCTTTGCGTGGCTTGCGATACCTCACAAAAACAGCATGGAAATTGACCGACAAAAAATTGAGACAAAAAATTTTGTCAAGCAATGTTGAGTAAAAATATGGAAAAATAGGTCTAACAAAATTTTCATACGATTGTCTCAAATTAAAACAATTTTGTTGAAAAGGATGTCAAAACACATTGGCAAAAAAACTTCGAACCAGTTACCTAGAGCTGTTTTCTCGAGATGCTTGTATCCTTTAACTAATGATAATTATTTTCGTTGGAATCTCGACTGTTTTAACGTAACATGAGAAATCATCCATCAACTGAGCTTAAATGTCAAAACCTCAATAGACAAAAATGTTAATTTATGATCACTATAAACACTTGTATGTAACTTAACAGAGATCTGATTTTGAACAATTTAATAGAAGTAAATGCGAAGAAGTTTATAAAGTCAATTAATTAAGCTATAAATTTTACCTAACACCAATTTCCTCCATAAATTTAATAGTAACACCACGTTTATCTCATTAATAGTCTGTCACAGAACAACTGCCTCAAATGTACACAAAACTTAAGTATCAATACTCTACACTAACATTCTGATTTTGACAAAATTGTAAAAAAAAACATCGTTTCTTTCATTGATTCAACTACCTGCACTGGTTTGCTTTTGGAGCAAGTTTGAAATCATTGCATCTAGTCCTTTTTTTGCTTTCTTCTTTGGCGGACCCGCTGAGATTTGTTCATGTGACGATGGGGGTACAGAACTAAGACAAGAGGCCAAGAAACCCCCTACTACAGTACGTTTTGTTGTTGGCAAAACTTCAGGCGTCGAATCTTCCTTCTGCTCATTTTGCTGTGCATTTGTCTCCTGAATCATAGCTACCAAAGAATTCTTTTCCTTGTCACTTTTGTCTGAATTCTGAGAAACTTCCATTTCCTTTTCTATCGTTTCGGGTTTTCCGTTTTCCAAACTCGTCTGCAGATCTTTCTCTACTGATTGCACGTCATTTGATTTCTCCGGTTTAGTCTTCTTCTCGTAACTCGGTTTGTCTGGGGTGAACGTATCGCACACAGCAATTCTCAGCTCAGCTGGCAGAACTGAAACTGCGTCGAAAAGAGGCGACACTTCGTGAACTACTTCGATGTCATCCTGTGAGTCCGGGCTCTGAGCTACAGTTCCGCACTCCTGGTCACGTGATTTGTTTGGAGAATCATCTTCTTGTCGAGCAGGGACCATGAACATATCCATTGGATAGATCGGTTGTTCCTCTTTTCCTGTAAGAACATTTACATTCAAAGGCGCTGCTTCTGGAACAATGATTGCAAACTCATTGGAGTCCATTCCATCTCCAGGCACTGGCAGTAAGTCATCATAAGAAGCCTCCAGCTGATTCTCACAAGTTTCCTCCGAAGGCTGCGTTGTATTATGTACAGTTTTTGAGGAGTTTACATCGACTTGTTTACTTAGTCGAGTAAACTCAGATGTCGTAATCGCTTCTATATCTGGACCTTTAACTGATGGTATTCTGGGCTTAGTTTTCGTTGCCTTTGCAACTTCAACACTTGTGTTACTTTTCCATGTAGCTTGAGACTCGTATTTACTGAACCCTGGAGTTTCCAAAGAATGATTACCACGCATTTGTAATGCATTATACTCCGCAACGACATTTGGCACTTCTGGTAACACTGACTTACTGGGACTGGGTTGAATCTGCACCGAAGAATTACAGTTGCTTCTGACGTAGCCTGCCTTGATCCTTTTCTTGGGACGTTCCGTGTACGACTTCCCTAGAGAGCTGATCGCAACAGCACAAGAAGGCAAGCATTTAATAGTGAACTTTTCATTGTTGTGTTTCATAGTTCCGCCGTCTGGAAGCGAAACTGTTTTGTCTTTTTGAGGCAAATCGCACTCTCCGAACCTGCAGAAATAGACATGAGAGGCAAATTTAGTTCCCGATTCGCTTTCAAATCCACAAAAACATTTCATTTTTTCTCCGTCGTCTAATTTACAATCTAGATCCGTAAACATACTGTCAGGCTGAGTGTTTAAATTAGTTGTCCATTTCGATAGTCCATGTTTTGTGCCAAAATGATTAATTGCTGCTCTGGGACAATATGTTGAGTACGGACACAACTTACAGTCCATCAACTTCGTGAAATGTCTGTTCGGCTCATTCACATATGATCCGCACTCTAAACATCGTTCGAGCAATCCTGCTCTCCATAGATTCATTTTACCGCGCACTTTTGCGAAGCCTCCGTCAAACTTGAGAAACAAGGTCCAGCCTGGTTTTACAGTAACCATGATATCTGGTGTCGATTTAGCGTACTTGGTATTATTCAGCCCCTTAGTTTGATTCGTAGGTTGAACAACGCTACTAGGTCGGCCAGTTCTTGGAAGCTGCGCAACACCCGTAAATTGTTGTTGTGTTTGATTTTGAAGCTGCAGCGACTGATAAGGCTGTTGCCGCGGCGGCCGATAAGCTTGTTGCGAAACTGGTGTTGGCATCTGCGGCAAAGCATGCATAGGTCTGACAGGAACCGAAGGCCTTTCAAAGCGCGTGGGGTTATACGGAACTGGCGCCCTAGCAAACTGATTCCGTCTTGCGTACCCATGCTTCTCATAGCGCTCCATTAGGTTATTGGCTACAATCTGAGCTCTTTCTTTACTTTGGCTGTTCTGGAAATGATTGTAGCCTTGACTTGCGACTCTGTTCACCGTTTGGGCGATAGAATTCGGTTCCCACGTACTTGCAGGCAGAGACGGACGTCGATTCTGGTTTCCAAATAGCTGTCCTGGAATTCTTTGGATGTTCGGTTGTGTAGGCGGTCTTGATATAGAATTTTGAAATCCTAGACTAATTCCCTGATTCGCTGGCAATTGCTCTCGCGGCTGCTGACTTCTGGCAACACTATTTTGCGAGAATGTGCTGTTGTTCATAATCATTTGAGGAGCAGCATTGGAATTCATCACAGAGTACATGTCTTCTTGGGTTAGCTTTGCTAGTCCTTGATGATGGTAGCGCAAATGGTCGGCTTGGTTGCCAGCCTCTGAAAGACTATCCCCTGTTGTCGGTAAAGACGATTGCTTCACAAAAATCAATCGACACTTGGTGCATTTTACATTGTTTTTCCTCGGCAAATGATCTCTCATATGCTCACAAAACAACTCAGGTGTTGTGAAGACTCCAAAACAGAAGCGGCACAAGAAGTACTTGCTGTTCTGATGTTCGTTTCTGAAATGCGACACTAACTGCGCGTAGAAACTTGTCGCAAAGTTGCAGATGCGACATTTATAAGGCGTCTCGCAAACTTCATGCAACTCAAACATGTGTCGCATGTAAATCTCAGACTTACTGAAGGTGTAGTCACAGATTTGACACGCATGTGAGTTCCCCTTATGATCAACTACATTTGAATGGAAAAAATCAACATGGGTTCTCAGAGTTTCGTGGTTTGGGAAGCGCATGAAACAAGATTTGCACGTGGTGGTATGTATGTCTGGTTGCAGAAATTCGGATTTCCAAAAATGGGAATCTATGTGGTTCATGTAGAGCATGTTCACAGAGAAGTTCTCGTCACAGAAACGAGAGTCTGAGGTTTCAAAGAAGCAGCACTTGAAGAGGTTCATCACATCATTGTTCTGACCATTCTTGTAAGGGGATTGTATAGCGGTTCGATCGTTTCGCACGGCGTAGAAACAATTCAAACCTAAACAGTATATTATATTTACCGTAATATGATGATAACAAAAAGAAACATTATGATGCGATCTCAATCTACATAGGCGAAGCAACCCACCATCGCTCTGACTCAGGCAACGAAAAAATAAAAATATTCAAAAAAAATATTTCAAGACACTAAGAAAAAAAGAAGTTGCTTCGAAAAAAGCTATTGAATCGCTGTATTCGAACCTCTGAACTCCTAGTCACTAGTATAAGAGTAAAGCCAGTCAATAATCTCCAGATTCAAATAAGTTAAAAGCCTTTAGTCTAAAATCAAAATCATGAGTCAAAATTCAAGCCATCTATTAGGCGAGGCAACAAATAATTAAAGCGATAATGTGTCGAAAACATTTGTAGTTTATACGTTAAAGCTCTTGGAACCTTAAAGATCCTCTATGATTGGTATTTTTTTCATAAAACCAAGCTAATCAGAAAAAATCGGGTCAAAAGATTTTTTGTATTCAGTTGGGAGTTCTGATATTGATAGCCATTTTGAAGATGAAAGTCATTCATGTTTTTGCACCATTTGCATTTTTGTAACTCGAGAGCGTAATGTGCCTTCCATTATAGTCAACTTGAAGTAAAAAGAAATCATAAGTCACACCGTAAAAAAATCAAAATTGCGGGTGAACAACTTTTATGACTTCTTCTAAAAAAACTTACACGACCTAAATAAATGTCTTTACTTTATTTCTTTACACTTAATCGGCTATTAAATCCTATTTTAGACCTGGGCGGATCTAGGATTTTCTCGAGAAGAGCGGATTTTCAAAAATTTTGTCGAACATTTTTTTAGGTCCACTAAATTGATTTTCCGAACGCTCCCAGAACACTATAAAGACCCTATTTTAACCAAAAATTTTGCGCCGCAGGCAATATTTTGAAACAGGTCAAAAATGCGGTTTTTCAGCGCGCGCTGCCCTTCAAATTTAGCAAAAAATTTGAGGGTGAAGCAACATTACCCAGCCCAGAAAAATAACCAAAAAAATAGCATGTAGTTCTTAAACAAGGGCACAACAGCGGTTCGCCCCGTGGATAAATGGTCTTAATCTTAAAAATTGGCGCCACAAGCGCCTTAAGAAATAATTTAGGGTTGGTTGGCCTTAAATGGATGTCAAAAAATAATACCAAGGCAGAACCATGTAGTTGGTAAGGACCACCTACCCCCCACCCAACCCGCCCCCTGATTTAGACGCCTTTCGTTGGATTCTCACTTCATCAAATTTCACCGATTTGATGTCTCGCTCTCAAATCACTACTTTTTGTTTTCGGAAAAAGGCAGCTTCGTAAAGGCACACCTGAATCGTAATCTGCTTGTGCAAAGAACCTACTATATTTTTTCAAAGGCGATAAAAAGATTTTAGAGCAGATCCGAAGACTATGCTAAAACGCTCAATTACCTTTCTCCTTAACAATGGATAGCACAGTTTCTCTGGTGTAGCGACCGGAGGCCAAAAGCTTGTGTACTTTACTCCACAGAGCAGTCTGATCACTCGAGCTATTCGCCTGTTTCTCCTGCTGTCTTTGAACTTGAACCGCTGATGATGATGATGATGAGTTTGCAGATTTGTTGTTGGTTTGATTGCACTGATATGTTTCATTGCTCAAGGAATTTCGACTGAAAAAAAAACACATCTACTTGGAACACATCTACTTGAAAAAACAAAATGTTCTTAAATCTACAATCACATAACTTCCGACAAGCAGATATTTTTCGACTACCAGTCCATAGTATTTATGCATATCGACATAAGATGCTACTCAAAAATTTTAAACAATAAAATTTTAAAACAATTCGCTCAACTGATTACGTGAGCAAAAAAAAAACAACACAGGCGAAACTGAGCTTCGCAACACTTGCCATACAAACATAGCCAACAGACAGTTGGAAAAGAGTCAATGAACGCTAGTAAACAGAAAATAAAACTGACTTGTTTTTTGAAAAAATCTCGATTTATGAAATTTCCATGCAAAAAACAGATGCCCTTAAAGCGCTTTGAATTTCTAAAACAATTTATGATTGTCACTTTTTGATAAAAGTAACCCCATTTGAGAAAATGAATTAATAGGAAAACTTTCAATTCGCTGGAAAATTCGATAATTAAATTTCGTGACCTTTATCGTGACCTTTATACTTTAGCTGTTTGATAGTGGATTTTGCCTGCGTTTTAACAAATTAAATAGAATGCACTCAAAAAGAAATCAGAAGTCAAACCGCTAAAAAAGTAAGTCAGCGCGAGTAATATAAGATTCTGAACTGCGTTCATCGACTCGTAAAAACATTGCATTACAAGACAATGAATAGAAAGAGACGAAAAGCGGATTTTTTGAAAAAGTTAGTTGAAAAAATACTTGAAAAGTCTTTTACCGAGCAGCAATTAAGGCGACAAAATTTGGGTAGACCATTGTTGAGCCAAGAACAAAACTATAGACATAAAAATTTCTATTTACAAAAACTTTTCCAACTCATCTGTGATGAAACACACAAGAGCATATATTGCCATAAAAACTACGCAATATAAGTTGAATTAGCCGATATAACATAAGCCAAACTCGTTTTATTTAAAAAACGGTTTAATAAAAAAAATCAAAACCAGACCTAGTTACTTAACCAAACTACAGAATTTTCAGTTATACTTAAAACTGTTTAATTTAAAATAAAACACATGCTTTAGAAAACAAGCCGATTAAAAACTACCAGATAATCAATATGTCATTAAAAATGTTATTTAAAAAAGCCATTAAATATAAATGTCATTTTTTCAAGAAGTTTATTACTAACTGAAACAAACCCAACCTATTTATTACCTAAATGATGGTAATTTTAATTAAAATTTCAAGAAATTGAGCGTGTCAGCCATCGAGCGCGGAATTTACCTTCCTCTTAAATTGACCATTATGCGATCAAAGTTAATTAATGAGGAAAAAACCTAATACAGGGTTGCAATACCCTTGCTAATCGCAAGGATAATAAAGCTGCATCAGACATAGAAAGAATATTGCTAAGCAAGCAGCACAGATGTTCCGGCCACTGCACTAGTCTCAATGAAAATGTGGTCGGAATAAAAGGCCATAGTTTAGAAAAAATATAACCACCTTTGGTTTTGTTTGAATTGCACGTTGTTCGCAGCAGCCGTAGAGTGGGTGGCATGACTCTGACTGTAGTAGGTTGAGGCGTTGGGTGAGGGGAGGTTCTTCCCCCTCGGAGGCTGTTGCATCATGTGCATGTTTCCGGCAGAAGAGGGGGGCGACCGAAGCTGCTGCTGCTGGTTGAGAATGATGGGAGTCATCTGGATGTTCACTTGAGTCGCTGGTTGACTACTGCTGAAGCAAAATGGAAAAACATTGAAAATTCGAATTTCAAAGAAAAAATATATGGCTTTTATGAACTTCGAGATCAATTTATTATGGTTGACAATTTTTTTTATTAATTACAAAGCCAATTGGAAAATTAAACCCACATCTTCGTTCACTAGACGTCGTTCTCGTTTTGCGCCATTTTAGCCTTCGTAATAGGCGAGCAAAAAAGGGTAACTTTCCTTCATTTTATCAAATAGATTTAAATTGAACTTAAATAAACCAAAAAGCAACAAAAAAGTTTGCCTTTTTTCAAAACAAAACAAATAAGACTTTTCTTAATTTCGTTCATTGACACTTGATACTTAGCATTCGTGACGTAACAAAGCAGCTGAAAACAGGCCGGTCTATGAGCCGTTGGACAGAATTTTCTGACTACAATAAACTTCACAAAAAAAAGAGAAAACATAACAACTGACAGTTGGAGGAAAAGAGTAATGAACACAAGGAAACAGAAAAAAAACTGACTTGTTTTTTAAAAGAAGTTCAACTTCCAAATTTAATGAAACAATATATTCCCTTGAAGCTCTTTGAATTTCACAAACAATTTATGGACCAAGTTAACATCCTCCCCCCTAAACACGTTTAGATTTTCAGCCAATCAGAATCGAGCATTTTACATGCAGCGCTAGACAAATTTAAGGGTGGAGGATGTTAACGCTGGGGTGGAGGATGTTAACTTGGTCTATTAGGGGGGAGGGGGGGAGGATGTTAACTTGATCCCAATTTATGATTTGTGCTTTTTTGATAAATCAACCCGATTTGAGAAAACTGGTTCAATGAGTAAAACTTTTATTTCGCTGGGGAATCTGATAATTAAACTCCATCTTCAAAATTACGAGCCCATCAGGTTTTTCATGACCTTTACATTTTTTGCTGTTCACTAGTGGAGTTTGCTTTCCTTTTAACAAAGGAAATGAAGTAACTTAAATAGAAATAAAATTTATAATTATCTTTTTCCCAAAAAAAACACAAAAAATCACCAAGATGTTTATGAGTACTCACTACGCTCATTACTCTGAATAGTTTTTTTTATCATATGGAGCGAGGGTGCCGGGAGTTCAGCATCTTACAGTTTTGTTAATATAAGCAACTGAACAGAAGGTTCTTTCACACCTTTTGTCGGAACAAATCTACTAAAAACTTTTTCGGTTTTTAAAAAAAGATGAAAAAAAGTAGGCGGTAGATGTGCAAGGTGTGCATAACTTTCTAAACAGAACGGTTGAGGAAAAGTAATTTAAAAAAATTGAAAAACATGTAAATCAATTAAAAAAAAACTTCGCCAATTTTTCTGTTAATTGCCTTTTAATCAAGCGTCAATTGAACAAGCTCAAAAATTTCGTGTCATTAGGAGTGAAAAACACAAAAACACAGAGAATGTTTTCGACCATTTTTTAAAATTTGAATCACGGCAATAATTAAGCATGGCGAAAACACTGACAACTAAATTTCACTATACAAATTAGTTTTTGCACAGATAAAACGCTACATCTAAAAAGTCAAAACTTGAAACCGCATTGACGAAACCTAAAAAACTCATAAACTTCAATATTTGGGACAGTTTTCACGATGCAAATCTTTCATCATGAACTACATTCATAAACCAAAACTTCAACAATATTCGTAAAAACTAAAGCTTAAGAACCTTTTTTAACTATTCGAAATAGCGACAGAATTTAAGACAAAACAAAAAGGCCGAAGCATCGATAAATTTGAAATGTTTTGAAACCAACATCATAGCACATACGTCCAAATTTACCACATACATACAAATGCACCACACGTGAAAGAAGGATCCAGTTGAGCAGATTTGATTTTGTTAAATTAAGTGTATACAAGAAAAAAAGTCTAGCACCTGATTTGACAACTTGCTACGTAAATCGCCTATATCAAAGCCCTCACAATTCTAAGAAAAATAGCCGCAACTGAAATATTACAAAAAAATGGCCGCAACTGAAACATAGCCAACAGACACTTGGAAATTTCGAATTTCTAAGAAAAAACAGATGCCCTAAAAGCTCTTCGAATTTCAGGAGAAAGTTATGATTGGCTCTTTTTCGATTAAATTAACGTAAATTGAGACACAGCGACGAAGCTGTCATTTCGCAAACAAGAGCGAGAAATCTGCAAAAATTCAGATGCATAAAAACTTTAAAATGCACATAAACTCAATTTTTGCATACGATAAATTGAAGTGTAATAAACTAAATGACACCAAACTAATTTTACAGGTAATAAATTAGAATATATTAAACCAAAATGCATTTCAAAAATCTCGCGAAATATATCAAGTTGGAAGACTTCCTAAATGGGATTTTAACACAGAAGCGAGGCTGCGCTTCGCAAACACTTGCGAGAACACGATCAAAAAGCAGATCTATCAAGTGAAATCAGAAAAAATAGAAATAAGCCTCGAATAAGCAAAAACTCGGCTACGTGTAAGATTCGAATCTGCGACCTACTGCAATCAAGAGGTTTTGAGTCTCACGCATTATCCACTCAGCTACGGAAGCTTAACAACCCACAAATACTAGTCACGAATAAAGCAGCTACATATTCTAAAAAACTGCCATTAGGTTATTAGGTTTCAGCAAAAGTGGCACCAAATACAAATAGACTTATTTTTGCAAAAAATATATTAAAATACAAACAAACTGAAGGCATCCATACTAACTTTACTTATTATGTTTTTTGAAACAAATCACTGTCTTCGGTTCATTTGAGGAATTAAAAATGCATCGACTTTGTTAACTTATTACTATTCGAATGTCAAAGCACATGCTATGAAAAAGCTGAAAAGGTGCCGTAAAGTGGCACCAACAATTGCGACTAAGGTTGGGTAAAAATAAGGTTCATACTAATACACTCGCTTCGCAAGTGTAATTATCATACTATTGTATGAAACAATATGCTTTTTCCGTTTCACTTATAGAATTAAAAAAGCATCTTTCAAAGCACAGGTTTTTATACTGCTGATGGTGCCATCTACTTCAAAAGGGCCAGCAAAAGTAGCATTTTTATTTGCGTCTTAGGTTGGAAAAAAATTGCATCGTACTATCACACTACGCTCGTGTAAAAACTGGATCAATAAGTAAAATATTTATTTCGCTTGGAAATCGTGAAAATTAAATTCTACTTTCGAAACTGTAAGTCACGTATTTTGAGATATTTACACTTTTGCTGTTCGATAGTTGAGTTTGCCCTTCGTTTAACAAAGGAAATGAACTGAAATTAAAACGAATTCAAAAGTCAAACCGCGAAAAAGTAAAATTGATCCTAAAAAAATCACGACCTATATAAGAGTCTGGACTACGTTCATTGACTCTTAAAAACGTCTAAACTGTCTTATGTCTACTCATCCTAAGAGACCACCCAAGCATTACTATTCTATGAAACTCTTCAAAAGTCTGAACATGAAATTCAGCAGAAACTAACCCGACAAAACGCTGACTCATGGTCGTGTTCAAAGAGGCAACCTCAGCCTTTTAATAACTTCTCACCCCTAATGGCAAAACTCTCGTTCAACTTTGATTAATTGTGGAATTTTGATGCTTGAAGGAATTTGTTTCGCTCATCAAAATATCTAATTCAAGAATGCAAGAAAAAATACAAAAAGAACTATACTCATTGGCAGAAAAAAACGAATTGTGACAATTTTGTTTAAAAACAGCTAATGTATTTACACTGCCGGGTTCCGTTGTTTCTTTGTGGGAGGGTTAATAGTACGTTTTGAATGAAATAAGTTGAAACCACAAAATCTTTCTTCAATTATTTTGAATTTTCGCGCGGCTTACCTTTCGTACGATCCATTGAGTATCTGTATCGTGGGAGTTCCACGGCTAGCACCAGTGTAGAATGAATAGCTGTTCGCCCCTACCGGCGAAACCCTCGTTGCGTTCGGATTACTCGAGGGATTTTGGTATCTCGGCTTTCCGCTCGAACAATGGTGAGGTCTTATAGCACCGGACTGGTTAGTCGGTTTGGGGGCGATTTGAGGGTTCTTTCTCGATTCTCGAGAGGCGACAGGCATGACTTCTTTGAGAACCTCAATGTCACTGTCGCTGTCGTCGCCTCCTTGACCATGGCCCTGATTTTGCGCCACCGCGGGCGCGTTCATCTGATGATTTATTGAGCTTCCATTTTGACTGGCGAATGAAGCATTAGAATTGAAACCCAAACGGACAGAATTCATTCATCCAATCTGAATTTAAACCAACCAAATTTCCGAACTTAATCCAAACTGGGACATTTAAACCAAGACAAACGTAGCCCAAATTGCACAACGTTTTAACTCGCACTTCGCTTACATAAAAAAAAATTTCAACAAAACACTCTTGTCTCAAAAACAATTTAGAAGTCTAATATGTTTGTCTGGTCTTGCAACCATAGAGAGTGGTCTTAGAAAAGACGGATCGACCACTGCTTAAACGTCGAAAAACCCTCTCGTAAAAAATGAAAGAAAAAAACGTTGAAAAAGTTCACTCAGGATCGTGAAACGCACAATTAAAACTTCATTTATTCCTATTTGACGTTTAATAGAAAATGCAACACAGAAGCGAAGCTTGATCTTCGAACCATTCGCAATAAAAAAACGAATACCTGTGATTAAAATCAAATGAAAAAAAAAACTTCAAAAATCTTTTTGACAATAAAAAATGCAACAAATGCGCAAAATATCCGCAAAATACACGCACCATTATAAACTCTACAATGAGTTTCAGAATACTAGAAAGAAGCCAATTTGTTTTTAAAAAGTCCTTTCTGCGGAACTAAGCCGACAAAAATAAGCAGACAGACTATAATCTAAAATAATCGAAAAATCAACGTTGCCAAAAAAACAGGTCTCGACAGGAATCAAACTCCTGGGCTTTTTCGTCTCAAGCAGTGTTACAGCACCTTGGAAGAAACCTGAAGCTTCGACAAATTGGGCTATGGGAACTAAGCTGGCAAAAATAAACAGACGGACGATAGTAAGAAAAAGCACAAAAATTCTTAATTACAAAAAACAGGTCGCGTTCGGATTCCAACAACCAGTATTTGCTGTCTCAAGCAATTGTGTTAAGTCGCCAGATGGTTGATTGAATTTAATTTATAATTACCAAGCGGTAACCAAGCCGAAAAAATCTGAGCAGAAGTCTTTCATACGAAAAAAAAATCAAAAAAGTTGTTAACTAAAAAAAATTTAAAACCCCTTCTCCTGAAAAACACACATATTTTTTTCGGCCATGACGCAATGAAAGGCCACCAAAATGACGCAATGAAAGGCCACCAAGTCGATATAAAATAAGTCGAAACCTACTAAGCCAAAAAAAAGTAAAATTTCAACAAATCGAGTTGGAAAAATATACAACCAACATAAATAATAAATTTCAAAGAAGACGGATACTTAAAACGCTAGCATGCGCAAAATATGCCTATTGCAGTAAAGTTGTAATAGAGATGAGTCGTGCGATAGTGCGAGTCCGGTGAGAGTTTTTTTCGGGAAAAAAGTCTAGTACACGATAACAAGATGTTTTCTTATCGCAAGTGTAGAAGCACCTTAATCCAAAGGTTTACGGGAAAACTATTTATAGTAAGCTCATTTCAAGCACACAGATTGAGAACCTCAGACAGGTGGGTCTAGGCTCTAGCCCCATGGTCTCAAAGATCCAAAAGACTATTTGATAGGACAAAAAACCACGCTAAGTAATCAATTTTTTTGCCAACTTTCAATAAACTACTGTGCTGAATAGTAGTTAAAAGAAGGAACAGATGATATTTCGTTTGAACTGGATGAGCCACAAGAAATTTAAAGGACAACTTTCCGACACCGATAAAATGTTTATCTGTCAATTTTTATTCATCAGTACATATGTTTCAGCTTTCAGGCAAATATGAATAAAACATAGAAAACAGACAGTTGGAATAGAGTTAATGAACAAAGTAAACAAAATACTCACTTGTTTTTCTTTTTTATTTACGAATAAAAAGATAGATTCCCTAAACACTCTTTGAGTTTCTGGAACAATTTAGAATTAGCACTTTTGATTCAATTCACGCAATTTGAAAAAACTGGATCAATAGATAAAGTTTTAATTCCGCTGGGAAATCTGAACAGTTGTATCCACTTTCGAAACTAGAAGTCGATCACGTTTTTTGTGCCCTTTACAATTTCGCTGTTCGATAGGACAGTTTGCCTCAAGAAAATCAAAAGTCAAACCACGAAACAGTAAAATTGAGCCTGAACAAATGTTTTAGACTTTTCTTGCAAGAAAACAATAAAATCATCAGGACTTCTATAAGAGTCTGAACTACGTTCATCGACCCTTAAAAACAAAACTCAAAAAATCGATAGATCAATCTTTGGATAAAAATCTTCCAACCAAAAACAACCAGATAGAATTTTCTTCATTATTGCCTTCGGAATATGCGACAAAACATACTACATTTTGATGGCATAAAACATTGCTCATTTAGTAAAAACACCGTTTTGAAAATCAAAAGCCGTCAGTTTTTTTTTTCGCGGCTGTAAAATCAAAAAAATTTGCTGCAGAAAAAAATATTGGTTAATGTTTTATATGAAGTTTGACGCAATATGGATTTTTATAATATTAAAAATTTCGGACAATTCAAGAAATCGATAGATCAATCTTTGAATAAAAGTCTTCGAACCAAAAACAACCAGATGAAATTTTTTCATTATTGCCTTCGGAATATGCGACAAAACATACTACATTTTGATGGCATAAAACATTGCTGATTTAGTAAAAAACACCGTTTTGAAACTTAAAAGCCGTCAGTTTTTTTTCGCGGCTGTAAAATCAAAAAAATTTGCTGCAGAAAAAAATATTGGTTAATGTTTTATATGAAGTTTGACGCAATATGGATTTTTATAATATTAAAAATTTCGGACAATTCAAGAAATCGATAGATCAATCTTTGAATAAAAGTCTTCGAACCAAAAACAACCAGATGAAATTTTTTCATTATTGCCTTCGGAATATGCGACAAAACATACTACATTTTGATGGCATAAAACATTGCTGATTTAGTAAAAAACACCGTTTTGAAACTTAAAAGCCGTCAGTTTTTTTTCGCGGCTGTAAAATCAAAAAAATTTGCTGCAGAAAAAAATATTGGTTAATGTTTTATATGAAGTTTGACGCAATATGGATTTTTATAATATTAAAAATTTCGGACAATTCAAGAAATCGATAGATCAATCTTTGAATAAAAGTCTTCGAACCAAAAACAACCAGATGAAATTTTTTCATTATTGCCTTCGGAATATGCGACAAAACATACTACATTTTGATGGCATAAAACATTGCTGATTTAGTAAAAAACACCGTTTTGAAACTTAAAAGCCGTGTTTTTTTTTCGCGGCTGTAAAATCAAAAATTAGCTGCAGAAAAAAATATTGGTTTATCTTTTATATGAAGTTTGACGCAATATGGATTTTTATAATAGTAAAATTTCGGACAATTTTATTTTTTTGCGTTAGTTTGAAAATTTGACGTAAGGAAAACTGGCTTTTTTAAAATATTCGAGGAGCTGGCTTCAATTTAAATTATTTTCCACGCTTGTTTGATTTAATTCAGAATTTTTATCATCACTGATGATGAAATTTTTGATACAGCCTAATTTACTTGATTACTTGCTGTTTGATATTAGAAGCGTGTTGTAATTAGTAGAAAAAAAAATTACTCAAACTCAACGTGCTTCTTCTTTAAAAGAGGCAAACGAATTAATGGACACTCTTGACGAGGATAAGGTACGTGAAATTAACACTACCTATCACCCAAATAATTATTTTCACGTACCTTATCCTCGTCAAGAGTGTCCATGAATTCGTTTACCTCTTTTAAGAAGAAGCGCGTCCAAGAGGTTAAAAGGTTTTGAATGATAAGAATTACGGCTTCACTATTCAGGTGGCCATTGCACGTCTAAGAGTTGAGCAATTACTAGCAGGACTTGGTTTTGGGCCAGCCGCAGTGCATTACAGAGACGTGAAACCGGAAATGCCAAACATGGCAGGGGAAGCAAAAAAAAAAAGGACAAAAAGAAGCGACCTCTAAAGAGCAAGGTAAAAAACGAGTTTTCAAAATTTGCGAGGGCAGCCCATATCAAAACTTTACAAAGTCTAGTGTGCCTAACGGTTCGTAGTGAGAAATGATAAAAGGAATCTTAAGGGTGTAAAGTGAAGATACCGTGATGATTCGTGGTTCTGGGAGTTGCTTTGTTTAAATGGGTGAATTAGCCCTTTTTATATTTTAAAAGCCAAGGAAGGAACAATACGGGTCTGTATCATGTCATAAATTTGCTATCTATGTCCAGGTTAAGACAGGAGATGTTTTCACCTTCTGAAGGATTATGTTTTCAGAAGGAAGTATTCTTGCAGGCGGTGCAGGACCAGAGGTCCAAAATGTTGAGAGGAAATTGATTCAGGCATTTCAGACCGAGTGCTTCTGAAAGTTTGGTGTCGGCGACCTCTTGTTTGGTTTATTGAGGGGTAAAAAGGCCTATCAGACAGAAAAATTTGGCAAAATTACATCATAAAAACGTAAATTATATCAGAACTAGGGAACAATTGCATAGCAACAGAGACAATCTGTTGTTGTTGCATAACAATGTAAATTTTCGGCTTTTTGGAATGGTAATCCTATTTTAGACTTGTCGGCCCTTCGGCTCGTTGGCCTACCACCGATGTATGTGTCATCTCAAAGTGAGCTTTTTACTGAGCGCTTTGGCTATTTCCAAGAATAACTGTACTTTTAAAACAATTTGGATGGGTTGCCTAAATGTCACAGTCATGGATCCATTAAAGTAGCATATTACTTTCCAGAACTTCATAGTACCGATTAAGTACATACAGGTCCCGAGAAATTGACGCCATGTTTTCATTAACATTTTTTTGGGTTTCTTGATTTGAATGTGGAGAAAGAGCCGAGGTGAAATGGTGGTAACAATAGTGCTTGCTGGCATGCCCCCGATCACTATGGAAGAATAAGGAACCGCTGCAAAAGATGATCCATAAAAACTAAACAGTTCAACCGCATTTCCCTTCATCCTCGACCCAATCTTGAATCTACCCCAGGCATTTTATAAATTTGTCAATTGGTTTTGCATACAAAATGTATTACAAAAAAGAATAGGAAGGTACTGAATCAATTTTTAATTAAAAATTCAGAAAACGCCCTCCCAGAAAACTTTACTCTCAACAACGAAAGAAAATTAATAACCAAATTTCAAATGAATATCTGCTTCTTTTCATAATCCCTAATGTAATGAAAAAGTGAAAATAAACCAGCCGAAGTGAAAACTAACCAAAAAAGGGCAGAGCTTAAAAATCAACCAAAAGTTAAATCACTTTAGTTGAAAATTGTCTGATTTTCGAAGCTGATGCATAATTACTCATTATTTTGGCTAGTTTATATGCTCAGCTGATTCATACTGGGACTGGTTTGTTTTCGTCCAGTAAAATAGCTCCAAATTAAAAAGACTGCATTTTCAAAGCCAAAAAAGGTAGCGCAATAAATTATTAAAACTTCAGGATAACTTTAATGTTCAAGGAAACTTTTGGCTCAATTTTGGCATAATATTAATCAGAACTGATCCGCAGTTGAAGGAAAACTGATAATTTTGAAAACCCAGCCAAGTAAAACCTTTTTTTTCCAAAACCCACCGTTATTTTTCGATCCCCAGCGAATCAAGAACTTCAAAGCATTCAGACTAATTTACCACCAAGCTGATAATCAGGCCGATTAGAGAAAGAAGGCGATTTCTGATTTTAAGTAGTTTAGGGCATATCTAGCTAATTTTGAAAGAATAGAAATTCTCCCAACACGCATGAAAAAAAAAACACTTGAAATTTTGAAAAAAAATATATGTTTGATGGACTTTTTGCAGTGAATTTCTGGTCACAGCATTCTCTGCTTTTGCACAGCAACCATGTGAGATTTTCTAAATTTACTGTTTTGAAAATCAGCCGACTTAAAGAACTAAAAACTTACTAATTGAGATACATAATACTTCCAGGCAATTACCAATCTCCGGGTCATCCCATCGATCACTTCAGCCAGCATTGTTTGGCTTTAATCAGATCCAACTGTCCTGGAATGGGCAATTATCTTCTCTATTTGGACTCAAAAACAGAAAAACTTAATGACGTTGATTAGAGAACCATAGCAATTTATCTCCTCGGTACTTGTCCTACAAATTTCTCAAGTTCATTGTAATTCAGAGCAGAAAAACCTGAAGAACTTGTAAAATTTCGTGTCCTAAAAATTTGAACTTTCCAAAGATTTTAGATGAATTCTTTTCGCAACCTAATCAGATTGGCTTTACTCTCTCATTCTAATTCTATTAGAACTCTAACTTCAGCTGAAAAGATTCCATTGCGAGTTTAAATTGAAAAGTTTTTGCGTCATCAGAAGTCTCAGTCAGAATTGCTTTTTCAAAATGAAGGATACCGAATTAATTCTCCTCAGCAAATGCCCTTGCTTTTAATCCATTACTTAGCGTCAAAATCAGGGCGGGTCGTGATTTCTTAATTCAATGCAAGCTTTGTACTTACTTTAAGCTCCGAATCATACAAAACAATTGTGGCGCTTGCGGATCTTGCTCAACTAATATTTTTTTTCTGATACAAAAGATTTCACATTCAGTCTTACGTTGAGCTGAAAAACTGCCAGAGGCTTAAAAAATACCTTCAGATTTCAGATATAGGAGGATAACGTATTATCAATTATCGCGGTTCTATTGAATACTAGAACCCGCACTTTATAAATCTCTTCGCCTATTTTCCCTAAAGATCAGTTTGGTATAAACCCAACTTAATGAGCTCACTTTTTACCACCTCTGAATGGCGCCAAACAATCGTCTCCAGGGGAAAGTACGCGGCATTTGTTCAACTTTAGAAATTGAAATTCATTATTTCAAAGTTTAGTTTGCAGTTCCTAGCAATAAAGCAAATTTCTCCTTCAAATTTTACCCCGACTAGCCAACTGCAGCTCGTTTAATTCCCAAACGCTTCCTGTTAACAATTCAAAATCCAACAACTTTGACTTAAATTTAATATATGCACGTTCAGATACCAAGAGACCTATAATGCAATTGAGCAAAGCACTTTAGTCAATTCAAGGAAACTACTAACTTGTGCTGTTAAAAGAAAAACGAGATATAACGTTACTCCTAGCCGGCAAACAACCAGGCATTCCATATTAATAATTCAAACTTGCAACTGGAATATTCGCCACAAAACACTCACTAAATCTAGGTAAGAAGTTGACATTTTACACTTCATAGAAAGGTCACTTTTCCTCCAACAAACCGTGATTGCATAGGTATTCTTTCAACTCGTACACACACGGAGATTTGAAACAAATGATGAAACTTTTTCAACATTTTCAACACAGCCTTTTCTGCAATCAGTAAAAAATCACAAAAAACTTCAACAATATTCAAATTTCAGATCTTGCAAACCATAATCAACTACTAAAATGGCCAAACCTGAAGCAAACGACAGCCCTACTTCACCAAACCCACCGGGAACTAGAGAACAGGAAGAGGAGCTGCGAGATGTGTTCACAGTGTTTGACAAAGACGGCGACGACCGCATCACGACACTCGAGATCAAGCAAGTTCTGTCTGCTCTAGGACGAAAAGTGAGTGAGCAGCAAATCATGGAAATGATCTCGTCTGTTGACCTGGACAGTAATGGGTCAATCGATTTCGAGGAGTTCCGCGAAATGATGTCTCAAAGGCGTTCTGCCACCGACTTCGAAACTAAGCTTCAAAATGCATTCAGGTAATTTTAATATCTATAAAATATTCATTTTTGACATTAGGCAAGCTTTACCTTTTTCACATAATTGATCTTAATCTAAATTAACACACAATGACGAAGCTGAGCTCTGTATCTCTTGCGACTCATCAACATCATGCGTGCTAAAAAATTAGACTGAATCCAATAAGTAAAAAAAAAAACATATCAAAAAAATGCCGCGAAGTATCTACGAAAAAATTTCCCACGTTTGTCTCGATCTATGTTCAATTTGTGGAAAGCATGTCGAGATACATAATCGCCAACGTTAAATAAGCATTCAGAAACATTTATCGAGCGGCAACTAAGCCGACAATACTTGAATAGACGTCTATTGCGCCCAAAAGCTTTGAGTTATTGAAACTTTTTTAGCTATTAAGCCATTTAACTGTATGCTTTGGAAAGTAAGCTGAAAAAGATAAGACGAAAAATGATTGGCACACAATTCGGTTTACCAGTAAAAAAAAATCAATTTCCAAACAACTTTGGACCCCAAGGCTCTCGTTTTACCACTAGACCAAATGAAAACGGGCCATGAGCAAATTCAGGTTTTATAATGAAGCAAAGTATTTTTGTTAGATTTCTAAGAGAAATTATATAATACAAAGAGTTCCCTGTTACACGTACACTTGCTATCGCAAACATGAATTCAGCAAAAGAGTTATTAGATGAAGTTGTGTGGTTCTGACCTTGCTTGTGGGATGGAAGTTAGGATTGACTTTTTGCCAGTCAAACTATGACACCTTGTGCTTGGCCATGTCAGGTACATATATATACTAAAAATCGGTTTTAACTGAATGGCTGGCGAGAAAAGATGCATCATTATGATTCTTTTCATAGACTCAAATAAGGATACAATTAATAAAGATTTCGTCCTCCGCTTCAAAATATAGTGAAGTTGACAGATAGGGTCAAGATCAGATACATTGAGCCTCCTTTTCGATCGAATCCGCCTTCTAGCGGTAAATAAGTTTCTAGCAAAATCTAAAGACATGTTTCTCACCACGGCCAGGCATTCATATTGTTCCAAAGGAATTATGTCTAATTTTAGATATCTCAAAAAAGCTCTTAAAGAGTTCAACTAATATTATATTAAAGTTCTCTTGATCAAGATTTGGATTCCCAAAATTTCTCTTAGTGTTAAGAGAAAAAACTATTCAAAATTTTGAAGCATTTAGAGACTGAAAAATAAAAATTAACTTGACATCTTATGACCTGTTTCTTTGCTGAAAGAAACGACAAAAATTTAAATTCTGAACATGCGAAAAAAAATGAAAAGAATTTCTATTTCTGGATTTTTTTGCAAAAATGACCAAAATCGGAGCAAAATGCGATTATAGTACAGCAAACTAACCGACTCAACTTTTCTTCGATTTTATGTTGGTTTCGAGAGAGCTTTGGCTGCCCTTGCGCAACGAGCACAGAATGTTCCGATGACATATTTGGATTTAGGTCCAATTCGCAAGATAATCGACTCAGCCAACGTCACCACTTGCGATACAAAACAAGAAAACCGCTTAGTCGAAAATAACTAGAAAATGAATAGGGATGAAACACAAAAAACAAGCCAAGACAATAGAATGTAAAATTTGCATCCAAAGAAAATTTACCAAGTGGTAACAAAGCCGAAAATATCTTAGCAGAAACCCTTTAAGCTGAAAAAAAATTAAGAAGACTTATAAAATGTTATCAAGTCATCTCACCCTTTGTTTGCTCGTTGAACGACGCAATATGAGGCCAATAATCCGATGTAATATAGGCCTTAACTTATTCAGCCAAAAAAATAAAATTCAAAAAAAATTTAAGATTACTTGAGGGTTATTAAGTCCCCCTCAACGTCATAACACACACACATAAATTTTCACTCGTGGAACGGCGCAACATGAGACCCCTAAGCCGATATAATATAGAAAAAAACCTACCAAGCCGAAAAAAAAGGAAAAGAAAAAAAATGAAATTTTAACAAATCGAGTTGGTAAAATTACAAACGACCAAAAAATTTCGAACAGTACAGATCTTTAAAATCTCAACAAGCACAAAATATATCTGTAGCGGTTAATTGGTTGTTAGTAAGCTTCCAGGAAATGAGTCCAGATGAAGAGAGACATATGAAAAACGTTATTTACGGAAAAAAGTCTAGTACTCGATTGCAATACCTTGCTTATCGCAAGGGTAAACAGTCCTTTGAGAAATATGAACTGATGTAGCATTTTAAATTCAAACAATATTTTTCGCTTTCAGACTGTTCGATCAAAATTCAGACGGAGTGATTGATGAAGACGAGTTGAAATGTGTACTGGACAAACTTGGAATAGAAGCGAATGACGAAGAAATCCACGAGATGATTGTAGTGGCTGACCTCAACAAGGACGGAAAAGTGGATTTCAGTGAATTCAAAGCAATTCTATCGACAAAGTGAAGAATTACAAAGTGCTTCCTGACAAACTATTGCCAACTTTTTATTAAATATAATATACCGCTTCTTGTATGAAATAATTGAATAACCAACTTTTGTAGCAGCTCACTCGTTTAGCTAAACTGTTAGACAACAATCCTAATCTTTAACACAAAAAAGAGGGACCATTCCTTTATACCACCACTATTGCACAGGATAGACGGGGTTCCAACAACGCTGAACAAATGTACTTCGAAAAAAGCCATGACAAAAAATCCAAGGCTTACCTGGCCATCTAAAATCAACCTCCTCTACAAGGTGACTTTCCGGATGACAATTCCGAAATGACATACCGATGAAAAAAAATTACAAAATTTTAAGATTAAATCTATGCACAGAGCAAAAGAAAGAAGTTTAGTTGTTTGTCTGTGGCGAGTGTGAAGTGCTATGAGCTATTTGGTTTTTATGAATTTCGCACAATTTTCTAAAAATGCAACAAAAGGGTGGAAAAGGTAGAGTTACGTGAATTATAAGTAAATTTAGCAGAAAATTTCTATCAGATGTTTAGAATGAATAATTTTATTCACTTTCATTTCCAATTAGGGCTCCCCTATAATCAGGTTTAATAAGTTTCTATAATTTTTTCACAACACACAGTTGAATATCGTTTCAAAGAGTGTTCATTTGTAAAAGATTTGAGTTTTTCCTATTTAAGACCAATGAACTTAAATATCAAAACTTATTTGAACATGAAGTTTTTAGATACCGGGTCGCAAATGACGAAAAACCGAAAGCACAACAGCAAAACAAAATTTAGAACAATGTCCATGATTAAAATGGTTAATAGTTTTTGATCAATTCGAATGCTCAATTTTATTAAATAGTTTAACTTATTAAATTGTTTCTTATTACATGACGGTTGGAAGGAGGTCTAACATGACCTCTATTGATGTGGAATCTGACTAGTAGTACCTCTATTGATGTGGTTTCTGAAAAAGCTAATGGCCAAGATGGTGTTCCATCGATCTTCTACAAAATGTGTGCAAAGACAATCAGCAAGTCCGTGAGGCAAATCTTCGAGAAGATTAAACAAACTGCCACTTATCATCAAGTTTGGAAGCAATCGCAAGTCAGTCCAGTCTACAAGAAAGGTAATAAATCAAATGTGAAAAACTGTAGACCAGTCTCTCTTTTAAGTATTGTCTCCAAAGTTTTCGAACGATGTATATTTATTCAACTATACAAACACTTATGCGATTCAACTATGCGATTTTTCAGTCGTAATCAATATGGTTTTCGTAAAAAGCGTTCATCGATGAGTCAGTTGGTTGTCTATCTGGAGAAGGTTTACAGGGCTTGAAGTAGATGTGGTAAATACAGACTACGAATAGGCATTCCATCATGTTGATCGATCACGTTCCGTTACTTGATGAATTATCATACCTTGAAGTTACCGGAAGACTCCTGCTGATTACTGAATCGTATTTACCCGACAGGTCAGAACACGTAAAAACTGGGGGGATATCATCTTTTCCGAAAAATGTAACAAGTGGAGTTCCTCAGGGATCCCTACTTATGAGTTTACTTTTTATTGCTTATATCAACTACCGGCCGGACTGCTGTGGAAAGTGTTTGTCACTCCTCTGTACAGATGACGCCAAACTTATTTTCTTCGGATTATCGAAAAATAATTTTCAACTCGGCTTATCTAGAATAGCAAATTGGAGCAACAAACACATGATGCTTTTAAAAACTGACAAGTTTTCTCATTTATCATTAACATGGAAGCCAGTATCAAAGAAATAAACAAAGGTGAAAGTTTGGCGTTTAACAGAGCCGATTGGACGACAATAAATCAAGAAATAAAAGACAAACCTTTCATACCGTATTGTTACAGTAATGTAAATGAGCTCCTGCGTCAGTGGTATGCATGGTTATGGGACCAAATAAAGAACAATGTACCCAAGGTTACATCACACAGATCAACTCTCCCCCCGTGGGTGACGCCAAGTACGTCTCACGTGCTAAAAAGAGTACAAACCTTAAAACGGCGTATTGATCGGCAAAACAAACCTACTTTAAACATACCTACTTTAAACAAACCTACTTTAAGCCTTATTCTAAAACACAAAAAACTGGAAAAAAATCTTTAAATAGCATTGACTGAAGATCAAGCATTTTACGAAGAAACAGTAACAAGCAGTAGACGATTCAGTGAACTACAAAAATACTTGAACAAAATAAGTAGTTCCAGGCAATATAAAAAAAATGTTTTACAAGGAAAAATCCACTAGAGATGACACCCAAAAAGCTACATTTTTTAACGAATTCTTCATCAGTGTATATCAAAAGGAATCAAAACCTAACCCTCTCGCACGAAATACAAACTGTTCTCCTACAGAAGAAATTTGTACACAAATTCAAATTGAAGAAACCAAAACCGAAATCATTCTCAAAAATCTTTTAACAAATAAAGCATCAGGTTTTGATGGAATAGGTAATATAATTCTAAAAAGTTTTTCAAAAAAGCCCTGATTTTAGGAGTGACCTCGTGGTCTGGGGATACTGAGACCCAGCCATGAGCTCACTATTTCTGCATGTAAACTAGTTAATTTGAGTGTTTTGACCGAAGCCGAAAGCAGTAATGTTTTTTGTCGACCCGATGTTAGAAAGACCACCGAAAGTACTGGCTTGGTAGAGACGGTTAAAAACATGTAAAGCTCTGACTTAGTTTTATTTTCCGTCGATATGTATCTTCCGGGCGAATGTTACAGTTGATACCGCAAAGACCCAAAAAGACTTAGATATTTTAATGTGTGACAACCTTTCGTGGTCAGTAAATCCTTAAAATCGCAAATCAAAAGCAATGGGAGCATTTTACAAAATCAAACGGAATATCTCGAAAAAAAAACATCCTTAAAATCAAAATTAAACTTATACTGTAGATACATCGTACCAATCATAAGCTATGCATCGCAAACATGGTATCCGAACAAAGCAGAATTAAGACAACTGGAAAGAGTACAAAAACGAGCGACTTCTTGGATTACAAATAACTTCAAAATGAGTTATACTGAAAGACTGAAATTTTTAAAGCTCCTTTCACTGTCAATGTACTTCGAAATACATGACATATTGTACTTAGTTTCACTACTAAAAATAAACATGACATTCCCCCAGACAAGATGTGATCCGACCCTCCCGTTTGTCGTTGATAGATAGATTGTTGTTACAGGCATTTATATCAGTCAGGATTGTTACGATCAATTTTGTAGCCCGTTTGTGAGGCTTGTACTGTAGAGATATTTGAGCATTTAAGCACGTTAATGATAAATTGCGTTCAATCCAGAAGGGTCAGCTGATTTGCGCTCAATCCGGAGGGGTCTTGGGAGAAGACTGATCCAGCAAGCAGTGCAAGGAGCATCAAGAAGGGGCTCAACGACAACAACAATCGACTGTTGGGTATCGTTAAGTTTTGTATCCCTTTTGGTATCCCTTTTGGTACAAGAAGTAAGATAGTAATCTGTGGGGGGCTCGACAAGGCTGCACTGTACTGACCCTTCATCGAACTGCGAATATCCGAGTTAAGCACTTTAATTCGGATATTGAACAAACCCGAGGGGTATAGTATTAATAATATCATTACTTATATAGCCTATATTAATACTCCTATATCGTTATTTGGTGAAAAACACAGAAAGCAGACCGGTTTTTAGGGTCAAAGTTTGGTATCCTTTTTGGTACAAAAAGTAAGATAGTAATCTGTGGGGGGCTCGACAAGGCTCAAGGCTGCACAGTACTGACCCTTCACCGAACTGCGAATATCCGAGTTAAGCACTTTAATTCTGATATTGAACAAACCCGAGGGGTATAGTATTAATAATATCATTACTTATATAGCCTATATTAATACTCCTATATCGTGTTTTGGTGAAAAACACAGAAAGCAGACCGGTTTTTAGGGTCAAAATAGCGATATTTTGATCCCCCACAAGTCGCGATTTTTGAGATATTGATATTTTTTGAAACGGAAAAAAGCGCTAATTTAGTGTGTTACAACGTAACTGCACTACCATAATAGATAGAACCGGTTAAGTTTAGTTCGGAAGGGGTTGGAACTATTTTGGAACCAAAAATCGAATTTTCGTGATTTTGAGAAAACGAAACACTATAAATTCAGAAAATTTTTTGAAATTTTTGAGTTAGAACAGTAAAAATAGTTGTTCGGACAACGTCCACTAGTGAATCTACAAGTTTTAAAACCCGCTTCCCGAAAGCCTTCCAGGTTGCAGAGAAATCGAACTTAACGTGTTTGATTTGGTGGATTCATCAATCCGGAGGGGTACAGGTAGCATAGTTTTATGCAAATTTTTTCAACTAAAGCGTTTTAGATCGGGTCTTTTGCATTGAACTAGAAGGGTGTAGGCCTGCTGAGCTCGGATCATTGAATTTTAGGTTGAAAAGAACATAATTGCGGAAAAAGTTAGGCGGAACCTATAAGAGACAAATTTTTTTGACTTTAGAAAAATGACGTTTTGGTTAATAACTTTAGAACTACTGGGCATATCGAGTTGATCTTGGTATCAATAGATCAGAAATTAGCTGAGCTTACTCATAGGGACAAGTTTTTCGAAAAAGTAAGCATGAAAAGTTTTTGAGATTGTTTTTAGCAAATTCACCAATTTGGGAGGGTAGACCCTTCACGTTTTATAATTTTTTTTTTTAGAAAAGCCCTTACACCCCTACCAAAAGGTAATCGAGGTTGAATAAAGTAACTTTAGACTGTTCTAGACGAAAAGGGAAGGCTAAAGGCACAGGAAAACCTTAATCGAACCGAAGTTAGGCTAGCGATAAGACCCTTCACCGTTAGCGTGAATTGTCAAATAAGAGGCTTAACTTCAATCCGGAAGGGTCTAGGAAAGCATCACATACCCTTCATAGTTAATTGAAAAAGCAAAATCGCATCGGAGAACGTATCCGGAGGGGTATAGGTTGAAAGAAGGAAATCTCCGAGAAGCTACTTTTACAAACCAGAGGGCTCCCAATCCGGAGGGGTCAAAAAAATTTTCTTCAAATTAGGAGGGGTCCGAATCCGGAGGGGTCTTATATTTGCCAATTCGGAGGGGTCCCAATCCG